AGGACAAAAGAGAGAAAAAAAGAAACACAAGTTATTCACCATGGACAGAGAGGGACCCTGGCTGTCTCTCCGGGGAGACCAGGGAATTCCAAGGCAGGCCTTGGGTACACTCACTTCTGTTTTGGGAACCCTATGGATGCTCAGAGCTTGCTCTGCCACATGTTACACTGGGCAGAGATGTAATGAGGCTCAGTGACACAAGACAATTCCTTTAATTGTTTTTTTTGTGTGTGCTGGTCTCGTGGAGCCCAGGCTGGGCTTTGAACTCTTGATCCTCCTGCTTCAACCTCCCAAGCACTGGGATGACAGGTATGCACCACCGGGCCTGGTCCAAGAAGACCATGTAAGGTCCCACAAATGCACAACCGACACACACATTCGGTAGCTAGAACCAGACTTGTCTTTAGAAAGTTCACATACAGGGGCAGGAGAGAGGCTCAGAGCACTGGTGGCTCCTGCAGAGGACCAGACTTCAGGTCCTAGCACCCACATGGCAGCTCTTGACTGCCTGCCTATAACTCTGGTTCTAGGGATCTGACACCCCCTTCTGGCCTTCATCCTTACTTTGCAAACACAAATATAGGTACAAACACATAGCTAAGTTTTGTTTTTTAAATATATCAATCTTTTGAAAGGTTGTGTGCAGACAGTGACAACATGGTGTGCCACGGAAGAGGGAAAACTGGCGGCACTGTGGCAGTACTGCGGGCGATACCACTAATCACTGCACGATAGCTATGGAGCTTTCCTTTCTCCTCTCAAAGCATATGGCCTCAAACTTGCCATGTGGCTGACAGTGACCTGGAACTCCCGATCCTCCTGCCTCCACCTCTTGAGTGCTAGGGTGACAGGTATGTGACACCACATTCAGCTGGGAGGCCTTGAATGTTCAACACAAGAGAAGGTGGTGAGTACCCTGGTAACATCAGTCCCCACTGCATCTGTGTGCTGAGCTGTCACTGGCCTATACGTCCCTGAAGTCACTAGATGTGCATTTAAAAAAACAAAGCATGTTTTAAAGAATGTTGATAGCAGGCACATTTCAAAGTGATTCATTTTAGCTTAGCATGGCTAGACATCTACTGTCACACTAAGTTAAAACAATGTGGCTTAGCAGAACGATACAGCACAAACATCTGGCAGGAGGGATGGGAGGAAAGTTCCTAGCACACTCCACAGCGTTCTGGAGCACCACAGCAGACTCCAGGCAGAGTGCTAACACACACTGCAGAAAAGCATCAACAAAATTTTTTTTTCCTCTTTGAGGAAGGTCTCGTGTAGCTGGGGATGACCTTGAACTCCTGGTCCTCCTGCCTCCACCTCCCCAGACTGGGATGCCAGGCATGCACCACCTCATCCAGTATCTGCAGTGCTGGAGATAAAGCCCAGGGCTTGGTGCATGCCAGGTAAGCTGGCTGCCAGGTGAATGGACCACCACCTCTTCCTGGGCTTTTACAGAGCAGGTGACACCAAGATGCCCAGGTCCCAGCCAAGTCTATTTTTACAACACAGCTGGAGAAAGGCTCACAACTAAAAAAAAAAAACTGAGGCTGAGAGATTGAGGGACGGGACCTGAGGGGCTGTAGTTTCTTCCAGTGAGTCTTGCCAACATGCCAGATCCTCCTTCAACCAGGAACCAGAAATCTCAAGCCTTGGTCAGCAAAGGAATAAACTCCCAGTCCAGTTCATTCAGAACCTGCAGCTTTCCAGGGTAAGCCAGCCTGATGTTCTTGCCTGATGCTGCAACTTTGACTCAGTGTATATCCAGGGTGACCTGAGCACCCAGGGGACCAGACACGCAAGATGGTTGAGATGTCAACCCTGAAGGCCAGATCAGCACAACTCCTGGAGGTTAACTGATCTGCCCACAATGACTTTTGCAGTTTCAAAGTCAATGTTCAAAAGGAAACCAGAGCCTGCTGTTATGGTCCAGGTTGACGTTGGCCATCTGGTTGCACAGGCAAGCACATCTGAGCCTAGGACACCTGCCTAGAACCTGGCAGAACCGACTTACACAGCCTTCTAACAGCCTGTGGCCTGAGATGGCTCAGCAGGTAAAGGAGCTTGCCACAAGCTCCTGTCCCCTGGGTACCTGAGTATCAGGAGGGTCCAGGACCTCACTAGCCCTCCTCAAGGCCATATTACCTCACAGCCTTCTGCAGCGACCTGAAGCCTGAACCTTCAGCCCTCATTGCCTGCTCTCTGCCCAGCTCTCTTTCTTCCCTGAGACCCCTGCCTCGAACTACCATGGCTTCTAAAGATCCTGCAACACACAAAGACATTCCTGTGTTCAACCTGCAGCCTCAGCCTGGGCAAGACCCCAGGAACGTAGGGCCAGACGTGCTGCTAGAGGGTCATGAGGAGCACAGGGACCTCCCGCGTATCCCTACATGCACTCAGCCTGCACTGCTTCTCTTAGTCAATCTCCACATCCCATCTCCCAAGGTCACAGGCAGAGTCCAAACCCCAGTGATACAGGACTCTATTTGGAAACAGGGACGATGGAATGAAATGAGCTTGCTGCAGTGGACCCTAACCCCACCTAACCCTCACTTGGGTCCTCCTAAGAAGAGACCAGGACATAGACACACACAAAGATTGACCCTATGAGGACACAGAGGGGCCTCTCAGGAAGCCAGTAGTAGTTGGTGCTTTTGCTGTTTTATTGTTTTGTTGAGAGAGGGTCTCATGAAGCCCAGGCTGGTTGCAAACATGCTATTTGCCTGTTGTCTCTGAACTTGAGAAGCTAAAGCAGGAGGACTGACTTTGAGTCTAGCAGACTGATTTGGTAGACTCCTTCCCAGCATGCACAAAGTCCTGAGTTCCATCCCCAGCACCTCATAAATTAGGCATGGTGGGACACGCCCGTGATCCAACGTGTCTACCTCTTGGGAGGTGGAGGCAGGAGGATCAACAGTTCCTGGTCATCCTCAGCTACATAGTTTGAGGTCAGCCTGGGCTACATGAGAACTGGCTGAAAAACCAAAACAGTAATTTTTTTTTTTTTAAAAAGGAGAGCATTTCTTATAGGGTGTTTTGACACTGGGTAGATCTGAAAATATGAAGACCTAAGGGGAGGTGGCCCCACATGGGTCCCCAAGAACAGTGGCCTGGCACAGAACGTGTCAATGAGCCAGCTACTCCTGAGCTTTTCTTCAACTTTTCAGAGAAAAGCTTAAATCCTCCCCTGGTTTGGAGGATTTAAAAGAAAACAGCTTTGCTGGGAGGGGCGGTTAAGAATCCAGCCACCGCTACCAGGTGAGTGAGTGCAGAGCCACAAAGATGAAAAGCACCCTTCACACCAAGAGTCGCTGCTGTCATGCGAAATTGCGACTGTGTTCCTATGAAACCTCTGAAACCGGGCCACATCAACTGCTTGCCTCCTGTTTTCAGAGGAGGGAAACGGTTTTCTCTGGGTGCCTGTTTTTGGTGTGCCGGTGTACAGCACTGAGGGTCCCTGCCACTAGCAGCTCTGCACTGTGCCCAGGGTTTGAGCAGCAGTGACAGCCCCCGTTCGTAGGTTCCCATTCTGTATCCAGGTTGTTTTCAGCCGCTGTAGGCTGTATGTTTTTTAACTTTCTGGGTTCAGTTCCTGCTTTTATGTAACTACTTCTGCTAACCCCTTAATCACTTTCTGATTTTCTGAGGTGGTATTTATCTTGGGTGTGATAGTCACTCTCATCTGCTCAAGTCCCTGAGAAGCAAGGGGTGACAGTGATTTTTGTTCTTGGGACATGAGTACAGAGAGATGACCAGAGAGAAGAGACTGGAGAAGACTGAAAAGGAACACGGGCGGCGGGGGCAGGAGAGTCAGGAGCTGGAGGCCAGCGTCGGCTCCCTGCGCCGTGGCTGGTACACACCTTCCCCAAAGGAAGTAAATGTAGTATAACACACAAAAGAGACAAAAACAAAGCCCAAATAATACAGTAATAATAAAATAAGAAAGAGTAATTTGACTGGGTGTGGTGGTGCACGCCTTTAATTCCAGCACTTCGGTGGCAGCCTAGACTACACAGTCTGTTCCAGGTCAGCCTGGGCTACACAGTGAGACCCTGTCTGAAAAACAAACAGAAAAACAACAAAAATCATTTGCATGAAAGCTAGTCGGTGCCTGGGGAGAGGCTTGGACCGGTGACCTTTCTTATACATCTGCGTGGGACACTCATGTCCCCCTCCCCACAGTCTAGCCAAAGGCAATGGCAATGAATGTGGGCACTGGAAATTAAAGACCCCTGCCAGGCTGACAATGCCTCCCCTGGTCCTGCTGCATTAGCTGGAGGAGAGATTGAAGAATAGGCAAATAGGACTGATTTCGAAACCACAGCAGTTTCAACAGTCACCCAAGTGGTGTACCGAAACCACACACGGCACTGACTTCGGCAAAAACAATATGAGCAGAATGGTTTACCACAGCGTGCACTATCAAAAAAAAAAAAAAAATTACTTAGTGGCTGGCCCCACCCTGGTAGAAATTTCTTTAATTCTTCTATTTCTCAAGTTTTCAAAGCCATTCGTTCTCTTGATATTCAGAGCCAGGAGTGGTGGCCATGGTGGGTGTGGCTGGAAACTGGGCTTGTAAAAGGTCCCTTCTTCTTTTCCAGCTGGTTTTTCAGCAATCCCCCTGATGGGTGACCAAGTCAGGCTCTGATAACAACGGAATCTCAACAGCTAGCTCCACTACCCCCATAGGGCAGTTACACAAGAGAAGAGTCACAGGTCTGGGTGCTACAGGGTCTAGTGCTCAGTCAGTAGAGCACTTGCCCGGCATGCAGGAAGCCCTGGGTTTCACCTCTAGCCCTCCATAAACGAGGAATGGTTGTGCATGCCTCCAACGTCCGTATAAATGAGGAAAAGTGTCAGGCATGCCTCTA